CTTCTTCTTCTTCTTCTTCTTCTTCTTCTTCTTCTTCTTCTTCTTCTTCTTCTGCCATTTAACATTTAGGGGAGATGTAGTTATCTCTTATAGGCCAATTCTGGGAAGTTGTAATTTGTCAGGGTTCCCTTGACTCTCTCTGTCAATCTTTTGCGTGGTCTATCTCTCCCTTTATAGCATGAGTACTTGGTGTTATAGGCTCTGGAGGCTGGCTGGCTAGATGATATTCGTAACAGGTGCCCAAACCATTTTGTTCTGTTTTTCTATGATATATGGGCAGGGCTCCGTGCCAATAGGTGAGAATGGACGTTAAAAACGGAAACTTCACATTTTAAATAGCTTCTAAAGTGGTGAAAGGGGCATCAAACTCACACAATCAACAGTACATTTCTGATTGATAGTTCTACGTGGCGTCCATAGGGACACACATATTTTAAATCAATTTCTAGATGTCATTCAATTCTTCTTTTTGTTTTTAGTTTAGTTTTGTTTTGGTAAGTGTTTTACGGCGCTCGCAACTGCATAAAGTCATATGAGCGCGCGAGATACATTAAACCTTCTTTAGTTTTGTAGGAATTAATTTTGAATTTCGCCAAGGTGGCGGAAGAAGCATACTCTTATTGATTTAGGACTATCAAGGGAACATTAACGCATGCAACTTGCACACGGGAACTCCACGATTTTTCACCCATATCCGAGAAGGCTCAGTGTTATATCTTACCAACCCCAAGATCTGGCCGCTGGGGTGTGGCTAAAAGACTAGTAAGGAGCCAAGCAGTAGCGTTAGAAAGGTTTTAGAAATAGTCAGGAACCCAGAGGAGGGGGCAAAGGGGATTGGGGGGGGGGGGGGGTTGGCAGAAAGTGGATACGGAAGAAGACGACATAACATAGTGAGAGAGCAGGAAAGGAGGTGAAAAGAGTTACTTTTAGAGAGTAATATATTTTTTCGCTGTCAGGTTTCGAACCCGGGACCTATTGCATGAGAGTCAAACACCGTCACCTCCAGACCACGAGAGCGTCCTTCAATTTTTCTGAATTTGTTCGTGACAGGAATTACGTGGGTGTTGTTATTTACCTCCTCCAAATACCGCTCGACCTTAAATCCAGGGGGAGAACGATACAGGAAACTGTACATAAACATTTTTTGAAGTCAGAAAGAGTTACTTTTAGAGAGTAATACCGCAGGTGAATTTTGTAGGCTCAAGAAATGTCGGAAGAAAATAATAATGTGGGGGCTCTCGTGGCCTAGAGGTTAAGGTGTTGGCCTTTCATTCAAAGGTCCCGGGTTCGAATCCGGGTAGCGACCGAAAAATTTTCTTCTCTAAAATTGTCTCCTTTCACCTCCTTTCCTGCTCTCTAGCAATGTTCTGTTGTCTGCTTTCAATTCCACTTTCTGCCTCCACCCCCTCACCTCCTTTGCCCCCTCCTCTGAGCTCCTGACTCTTTCTGCAGCCTTTCTACTGCTACTCTTTGGTTCCTCCTTACTGCTGTCTTTCTGCCACACCCCTGATCTTCTGGTAGGAAAGATCTACACCTAGCCTTCTCGGACAAGGGCGAAAAATCTCGGAAGGCCCGTGTGCAAGTTGCGCACGTTAAAGATCCCTTGGTGGTCTAAAATCGATAAGAGTAGGCTTCGGCCGCCACCCGGGCAAAATTCAAAATTTCCTACCAACTGAAAATATTAGGTGTGTCCCGCGCGCTCATAATATGACCTATGCAGTTGCGAGCGCCGTAAAACACTTTACAAAACAAAACAAAATAATAATGTAGGCGGTGTAGTTGATTCACCAGTAAGTTCCTGACTTTAGAGGAAACGTTTATAGAATTGAGAGAAACATCCAATTTCGGTGACTTAAAAGTTTCTCCTTCTCTCCATAATTGTCATGTCTTCCCTCCAAAAGCGACAGTTGCTTCGTTATAAATTATACAATAATTTGTTCTTGAAATTTTGCATTTTTGGGACTTTGAAAATTGCATTTCCCCCATCATTTATCTTGATTTTTATTTTTCGTTGTTGTCAGTATATTGTGTTTGTTATAGTTTTATACATGTGTTTTTATAAGGAAGCTCAGTAAGTTTTCGCGTTTCTTTCAGGTATTTATGGAATTCTTTTGTGGAAAACCAGATTAGTCACAATTTTAAAACAAAATGCCTTTATTGCATTAAAAAAATCGATTTTATTTCTCCAAATATAATACCACAGATAACCCAGCTAAGTCCTGTGCTATGTAAGATAAAAGAAATAGTCTACTCAACGACTTTGATATGTAAATTACATGTTTTCTGCTTTCTTATTAAATTGTGACGTATCTTGTTTTTCTATTGGAGTCTTCACATATGTTCGTCACTGTTCTTGGCCTCACCAAAAAAAAATCGTTTTTTTTCCACAGTTTCTGTCGGGGAAGTTGTTCACCCTCACCTTTGTTGACTCTCCATGTAAGTACATTTTGCTAATTTGTTCAGTAGATGTCAACACGAATAAAGCCGAAAGAGCAGTGAAAGCTTTATCATGCCTAAGAAAACACTATCACGAGCAAGCAATCTTTGGTAATATTTTAGGAGGTTTTAAAAAGAGATGATGGATTCTGACAATGGGGAACAGCTCGTTGTGTAGTCAACAGTTACTGTACTCTGGCAGTGGCAGTCTTAACTTTTCAAGCGCTGACTGCATGGGTGGGTGGGTGGGGGGGGGGGGGGCAATA